AGATATTATGTATACACACTGAATGCTTTTATATAGACATGTCTTTGGTCTCTCTTTTCTTCTTTTTTTTGTTTGCTTTTTTGTTTGTTCATTTGGTTTTGGTTTGTTTGTTTGTTTTTGGTTTTGGCCAGCTGCTATCACACCTGAACCCATTTGACTCTTGGGGACTCCCCTCAGGAGTATGAAACTGCTGTGGAATATGTTATGTTTGGTCCAAAGGGTATTCTGGGTTGTGTTTATTTTATCCCTTATCTTATGATCAGCAGAATTGCTTGTAACATCATTCTGGAAATAGCCCAGTTATCTCCTATGATCCGATTTAAATATATGTGTGAGCAGCTATTGTGTGAATTAAGAATTTGTAGTCCTGGAATGTTCATGAATAGATCAAAAAGCAGATCACAAGTGCTAAGGTCTCTTTCACTGATGGTATTGAATTCCTTGTAATTTAGGAGACTGGTTTGGTCAGAGAAAATATTTTTTTCATCAGAGGAGAGCTAAAGATGAAAATCTGTATGTAAAGGGATAGTTAAATGTCTTTACAGGTAAATGTGTGTCTCCCACAAATTCATGCCATTAGTGGCCTAAAATTCCCACCAGCTTAACTCTGTTTGCAAACATGTAAATACATTTGAGTCTCTTCATTCAGCAGTTCTGACAATGTAACTTCTGAGTTTTATGCTAGAAGGTCAAACCAGGTATGTGTTGGCTTCAAACAGCTGAGCTGAAATGGAGCAAAGTATTGCTAAAAACTGCACTTTATAAGGAGCATGAGCATGGACACTTGTTGCATACCTACTTAGGACTTAAAAAGTCAGGACTCCATTTCTTACTGGTCGTGAACTTCAAGGGGTGCTCTGAGCAATCCATGAAATGAATAAAATCTCTGTGTTCAGACATTTGACTGATGGAGCTATCTGACTTTCTGACTGGAAGTTCCTATCTTATGTGTACCTTAAGAATACTAACATTTACAGCTCTGTAGTTTCATAGAGGTACCAAATGTCTCATGTCATCGTGGACCACAACTACTCCAACATGCTGGAAACAAGCAATTTCCTCACAAGGGAGATGCTGCTTGCTGATTTGGAATTAAATTACACACACACAACAATGTTCTGATGGTTTCATGGATGTTATTAGGGTTTCTGGCTTCCCAATAAAATTTGGAGCTTGAAAAGCAAAAACCAAGCAAAAAATGCAGTACTGATGTACCTTATGTTTGATATCCTTTTTTTCCTTTACAGATTGATTAAAGAAAATAAAAAACATCAGGAACTGATTTTGGATATTTGCTCAGAAAAGGACAACTTAAAAGATGAATTGAAAAAACGAACAGAAACAGAAAAGCAGCACCTCAGCATAATTAAACAGGTACAGATAACAAACCAGAAGTGCTGGTTAGTAGCTCACCTGTGTATAGTGTCACTATGGCCACTGTTTAACAAGACTTCATCCTTGGTGGCACAGAGAAGGAAGGAATGCCTGTACTACTTATCCTAAGCATTTTAAGAGGATAAATCTGCTCTTCTATTCCAAGAAATTGTTGAAAAGCCTGTAGTGTCTTTGGGTAAACTGACTTTCTTGATTCACATCACCTAAGTGTTCTGTATCTGAAAGCTTCTCTTCAAGTCCCAAGAATCCCCATTTTGTAGGTTGCCCTGGTGTGTGGGTTTTATGTACCTTGGCTTCCTGCTGGAGAACAGTCTATGTTTGAGACCTGTTAGATCTTTTTACAGAAAAGTGTCACATTCCATCTTTTATCCTGATAGGATGATTTATTTCTTATATATAGACATAAAGGAGATCTTAAGTTGCCATCATTACATTCTCTGAGCCACTGCATCTGCTGTTAGAATTAATTCCCAGTCCAGTTCAGTATGGATGCTGCTCTGCTGGCTTGGTGAAGGATGTGGCACAGGGATAGGAACGAAAGGGTGGAAGGTGGAGCAATGTCAGATAGCATGTCAGCTCTGCTCTGGCATATCAACACTTGCTGTCGGTCTATTTTTTTTGTGTAATAAATTACTATGCCTTGTGTTTTACTTGATTTGATGCATCTCCAGTCTCACTGAAGATGAGAACTGACATCTTTCATGCTTGTACTGTCATGCAGAGCTAGATGTTGATATGGGTAGTTGCAGCTTGACAAGTGTAAAATACAAGTAAATATCTGTTGAAACATCTAATTTTGTGTCAGATGTTCCTGCCTGTATAAAACGTGATCAAGGTGTTATTTGCCCTGTAATTATATCGTAATGCTGTCTTTTAGCTGGAAGCAAGAATAGAAGAGCTTAATAAAGAAGTGAAAGCTAGTAAAGACAAACTTGTAACTCAAGATGCAGCAGCCAAGAATGCTATTCAGCAGTTGCATAAAGAGATGGCCCTTCGAATGGAGCAGGTAATATGGAAAACCTTAACTTGTCCACTATTTTAGGAACAAACTTAGTTCTTGTAGGAAACATATGGAATCACTGGGTAAGGCAGAATTTTCCAAAACTGGAACTGCTAGTGTGCAGTTATATGTGCATCTCTGATAACTGGCATCAGTGAATTTCCAAACAGCTGTTAATACTCAAGAGTGGTTGATAACTCTTTTTAAAAAATGTGTATTTTTGTGTATGGAATTCAGTCCTCAAGGAAATCTCTTTTTCCTTATCTGTAAGTTGAACTTTATTCAAAAGGAGCTGAAATCCGGCAGTGGCTTTTTTCAGGCAGGCTGTCACAAAATTAATGTTTTTCTCAATTCCAGCACAAAGCTCTTACTTTGTCTCTATGTATTACTGAGATCTGGGAATTTTTTTCCTTCTTAATGTCATCTTATGCCAAGTACTTTCTCTGTTGTATTCCAAAGCTCAGTGTCTGGTTTTTCTTTTTTGTTTTTCCTTCTAATTTGAAGCAGAATTTGTTAGTGCTGGTGGGGGGAATCTCTAATAATAAGCCACTGGAAGTAAGCTATCTGAAAAATAAGCCACTGGATAATGACTGTGTAGTTGACATGTGGATGAGGGAAAACAGGGGACTGGTACTGAGTATTACTAGAACTTACCAAATACACTTTACTTCTGAAACAAGATATTCCAAATTACTAACGCATTAGTAACTCATTTGAGATGTTTAGCTGTGCAGCTGCAGCTGCTTGGATATATATATATCTTTAGTGTCACAAGTATGAGTCATTCCAGTGCTTAAGAGGGGATCTCGTGCTTGTCTTTGCAAAACTGGAGCTTTTGTGTCCTGCCTTGTTATGCTGCTCTACTGCAGTGCTGAAAATATCCAGTAGTGTCTTACAGAGGTTACTTGTGAAACACCAATTGGTTCATTCTGTAGGCAAACAAGAAATGCGAAGAAGCACGTCATGAAAAGGAAACTATGGTGATGAAATATGTCCGAGGGGAGAAGGAATCACTTGACCTCCGCAAGGAGAAGGAGATCCTTGAGAGAAAAGTGCGAGATGCAAACAAAGAAATAGAAAAGCATACCAATAAAATCAAACAGCTTTCTCAGGAAAAAGGAAGATTGCACCAGCTCTATGAAAATAAGGTACTCTGGAGTATTGCTGTGTGACTGGAGTGAAGGATTAAGGCACTATCAGAGCAGCCTTATTACTTGTTTCCTATTGTGCTTGGTGAAAGAAACCTGTTTTCATTTGGTTTCGCTGAATAGCTGTGAAAATGCCTCTCCTCCAAGAGAAGGGGAACACATTACTGAGTTCTTGTTGTCTTTTTCAAGTTCCTTTTAATATTTCCCTGAATATTAGTTTTTGAAACATTAGGGCTTTTTGAAGAGACTGTTGCATATGTCTAGATTTTGAGGTAATTTCTAGCTTATTTGGACTGTTTTTTTAAAGGCTGCAACAGCATTAAATTATTCCAGTCTTTTTTCTGTGTTTTCACTCTGTATTTTCTCTTTCATAATACTAAAAATTGGTAATAAAGTAATAGGCTTTTTCAGGCCCAATTCAAAAAATTTGCCATTCTTTTTTAGAAAGCAGTAAAAGATTGCTACGAAGTTGTCTTGGTCTTTTTTGTATTGTGCTTCACACCTGTGTTTTGCAATTCCATTTCATGTGGAAGATCCAAAAATTGGTAAATGACTAGGGATCACACTTTGATTTGAGCCTCTTCTGAGCAGTTGTACTATGCACAGAATGATGAATTTTAACAAAAGTCCTAAACACTAAGGTATATTAACACTTACGGAACCCTACCTTGCTATACAAACCAGAACATTAATGTGGGTTTTTTCTCTGCATTATGGGCTAAAGCAGTATTGGGCATTCTCAAGTATGTGCATGGTGTTGCAAAATCCACACCTTGATGGGGGGAAAAAAACCCAAACCTTGACACTTGAACAGGAGTCTTGTAGAAACACTGGGGATTCAGATCTCTAAAAAACCCTCTGTGATTTTTTTCCTAGGATGGTGAAGCCACTCGACTCAACAGAGAAATAGAAAAATTGAAGGAAGAAATCAATTCTCATGTTATCAAAGTGAAATGGGCTCAGAACAAATTGAAAACAGAAATGGATTCACACAAGGTTAGTGAAGTGGTGCTGATACCATGGCATGAAAATATAGTCAGAGTAATGTGGTTGCTACACTGTTTACTTTTTATATAGTAGTAGAATCTAATTTCTGATTTCTAAGGTGAGGTTTTCATTTGAGTACCTTCAGCAAAAGTCAGAACAGTGCTCTTAAAGATACTAGTACTGAAATGAACATGTTGAAAGGATGGGAGGGGAGGATGTATGGGGGATTCTGTTTAATTTAGTGATGAACTTTTACTTTTGTTTGTTTGTTTGAAGTATCTGTCAGCTTAGATTTAACTGTCACTTAAAAACTATCTTCTGCAAATGTGTGTGGCACATAAACAAGAGATCCTTTTGTTGTGCTTTCAGTGTGACAAATGAAATTGCATAAAGTAATAATTGAATTGAAGGAGGAAAAATCATGTTGGAATTTTTGTTAATTCTTTCCAGACTAAAATAGCAAAGTTTTATTATGAGAAATGTTCTTCCCAGATTAAGTTAGGCAAACAGGTTTAATTAGGTTTAACCATTTGTTATTACTGTTTTTGTAGGAAACCAAAGAACGCCTCAAAGATGCAATGACAAAATTAACTGAAGCAAAAGAAGAAGCAGATCAGATAAGGAAAAACTGTCAAGAAATGATAAAATCCTATCAAGTAGGTACATTTTCTCAGGAGGTCACATTAGTGTTTAGCATCTGAGTCTTCTTTTTCTTCCCTTTTTATCTTAAGCTGTAGCAGGGAAGAATTATCCTGTGCAAGCTACAAAGCTGAGATGAATAGTCACTGGTTTCTTTACTTGGGAAGTTGTTAAATAAAAGGGAAAATGTTTGTCTTGATTGGCATGCAGCATGGGTGTCTTTGTTGGCATGGTCAGAATGGTTAGATATATAGCTACAGGAAGGACTCAGTGATGTGAAAAGCTGTCTGTGTGCTCATAGAACTAGAAAGGGGAACATAAGACTCTTAAACTTCACTTAGATTTCTTCAATCCCCTTAGGAGTCAGAAGAGATTAAACCAAATGAATTCGATGCAAGACTCCGAGTGACTAAAGGAGAGGCAGAAAAACAAAATCAGGAGAAGTCTGATCACCTGGAGGTAAATATGTGGTGTGTGGAGTCCATGCAATTGGCAACTTAGTAGTTAAGAATTCCATGACATTTTAATTTTTGACACTTTTACTTTAAGCTGCTTACAGTTTTTGCCAAACTCTTTGGTTGTTTGTTGCTTGGGTTTTTTGGGCCTAATGCTACATCCCAGGCATCTGCATCCGGCACTGCTTTTTGGAGGATGTTTTCAGGTACTACCTTGTGTGTAAAAACAAAGTTAGGGGAAATTTTGATATTAAGAGGGTGAAATAACTTCTCGTTCATTTGTAAACATGAACGTTGCTGTCATTTAAAGCATAAATTCAGATGATAGGCTTATCTCTGACCAGTATTTTGCCAAGCTATATGGCAAGGGGAGACAAGGAACAGCTTCTGTTCTGTGTAGAGATTTGCTAGCCCAAAAGTGAAGCTCCCTAATGCTCATATGTGCATATGCCATCTTCAGGGTTAACCAAGTGTCAGTTTACCTAGAACTTAGTCCAGGGTCTGTTGTAGCATAGATTTGTATACCTAAATCCAGAGTGTGTAGTCTCACTCTTCTTCATGGTTCTTCTGAGAAGCTTTTAGGTTTTTCTTTGCTTTTTAAAGAAGTAAACCGAACCTTTGGGTTACCTATTCTGCCTCAGGCTGTTGTGGTGGCCTGTATTGGCCTAGATTTCTTTGTTTGTTTTTTTTTTTTTTTTTTGAGATGCTACTTTATATTTAGATTTCTCAGTGAGCTTTTCACCCTTTCAAAAGGTGCATCATGCAAAAATAAAAGAACTGGAAGACCTGAAGAGAACATTTAAGGAAGGTATGGACGAGCTCCGAACGCTGAGAACAAAGGTAATGTGTGCTGTATTGCATTGCAGAGTTGGGTTTTGGAACAAGAACACATTCAATCTGTTAATTGTATTTTTACTTCTTTTGGAATTAACTGTGATGAAAGAGTGGCTGGCATGAGAATAAAAGGGATACATAATTCTTAACTCTGGGTAGCCTTTCTTAGGGAGTATCAGTTGATCCATAGCACAACAGTGTTTTGTTTCATGGTGTGCACTTCATTTGTCTGGAAAGTTGAAAAACATTTTGGTAAACATTTTTGCAATTTTAGTATCTTTGGAAAATGAAAAATACTTGTAATCCCTGGTAAGGAGTATATGCTATCCATAACTTGTGGATAGTCTACAGATTAGCATGCCAGTTCAGAGAAGGGATTTAGCTCAGTAGGACTGTAGAAAAAGGAAAAAATACATAAGGGATTGGCTTGGTAACTGGGGAAAGATGATGTCTGTGAATCCTGGTCTACCAGGCTGATAAATTTGACTCTTTGGACAAAACTGATTCGATCACACTTGTTGAATTTAATTTTTTTGTGTTTTGGTTTTGTTCTTGACTGTATTTGATCTGAACTACTTTTGGATATTGTTCTAAGCTACTTGGAACCGCCAAAAAATTAACACATGAGCTTTGTACAACAATCTAGACATGTGATCAGAATAACCTAGCACTGAAGTTTATGAGACTAAGTGGTTTCTGATTTCTTTTTTCCTGTTTAGGTAAAGTGTCTAGAGGATGAGCGTTTAAGAACAGAAGATGAGTTGTCCAAGTATAAAGAAATAATAAATAGACAGAAAACTGAAATTCAGAATTTGCTAGACAAAGTCAAGACTATAGATCACCTGCAGGATCAACATCAGAGGTACAACTGTGCACTTTGAGTAATGTTTTACAACATTATCTGAGATGTGGAAAGGTTTTCTTTGTTGAATTTATGCTTTAAAATGTATTGTCATTTGAAGAATCCCTGTCCTAATTTGTTTTCCTAATTTAAATCAGTATTGCTAATACTGGAAATAACTTCCTCTAGAGTATGCTGGAAATTAAGCACTTCTTATTCTAATAATGAAAGGTTTCAAACTACATGTGTCTAATTATAAGATTTAATCTCAATCCCCTTGTTTTAGAAGAGCCACCAAGGTTATGTCTTCTAGGTGCCTGCTCAGGGATTGTTTTATTGGAAGACTGGAGGGAAGCAACTAAACTGGAAAGGTAGTCCTTCAGAATTGTGATGGAGGAATGAAAGTATTTAGTGAAAAGAATCTTTTGTATGTGTTATTCAGACAGTATGGAGCACTTGTATTTTTCATGTTTCTATGTGGTACATATGGACTAGAATATGCTAATGCTCTCCTCTGGTTCTGGTGGTGTTGCATAAATGGAGATAGATCAATGTCAGATAAGCAGAACCACCCATGTGTCCCTCCTGTGCATTTAAACAGTTCTTACTTATCATTGAAAAATATTGCAGTTTTTAGAGGTCTTCCTCAGGATTTAGAAAATTCAGCACATTCTGTTTGCTGTGTGCTGGTCAGCTGTGTTATCACAGTGTCATCAGCCTTTCCGGGGAAACTGCAGTGTGTCAGAGACAACTGAAGCCTACACTTGGATCAATAACAGCTATTTTTTCACTTGCCAAGTGAATTAAAGCGGCTGTGATCAAAGTGTGAAACTACAAATGTGTCTTTCCAGTTATCTTTTCCTCTCAGTAATTGAGACATGCTTAAATATCTTGTCTCTCATTCCATTTCAGTTTGGATAATTTTTTCCAGCATCCTTCCCATACAATATTTATTATCCCTGTATCAAATTTCATATTATCTTTTATTTCTCTTTCAAAAGACTTTAACATGGTTCCAGTACTCCTTAGAATGATTTTGTGAAATATCAACCACAGATTTAAAACTTGGACTAGTAAATTCCTGTTATCATCTGTGAAAAGAGAAATCTTGGAATCTTGCCCTCTTTTACCTACTGTTCTGCACCATAAATAAACTTCCTGCCCTTCACTTTCTTGGAAGCAAATGGAAGGAACTTTATCTTCATTCACACAAAATCTTCCCTGTTTTCCTCATGAGAAAAGGACAGAGGAGAGAGGGGTTTTTTTTAGCCTAGGGAAGAGAAGATGGAAGGTAAACATCCTGAAATGTATAAACGGCTATAATAAAGGGAATGTTCAGCTATCCTTACGCACTGGAGGAAGATGAATTTAGGTTGAATGCTGGGAAGAACTTTATGGTTGAGCTGCATATGGATCACCTCCAGTGTTCCCTGGTCTCTTTCACTGGTGAACTTTTAAGGATAAGCTAGAGATATAATGGTGTAAACAATCAGTTTTGTCTGGTTCAACCCTGGCTGCTAGGCAGAGATTTCTCCTGTCATAATGAAACAACATATTTGAAAACGTAGAATGCAAGCATAGCCCTCTGGCATAGGTTTCTAAATGGGAGCTGTAGGTGAGGTATTCTGTAGCACAAATGACTGAAAAAATTTAGTGCAGTGGTTGTACAGTCTGAAGTCTTCTGAAAGGTGGAATTGGCCTAAAAAGACTGTAAATGCAGGTGCAGTACATTTGATGTTATCCTTTAGTAGTGCAGTGCATCTTGTCTTTAACCACACTTGCCTCACTTTGGTAGTTGGAAGCATATAACTTACAGTAATGGAGTTCTGGTGGAATCCAGTTACTTAGTTTTGCAAAACTATAATTCATTTTCAGTATTGTTAATGATTTGGTTTGCCTGAGTCTCAACCCTGCTTGAAGAAATATGTTAATACAGGATTGTTGCCTTAAAGTGAATTGAGCTTCCTGGTAATGGCACTGTGTGTCAGGGAATTAAATGATATATGTGCTATTGCTTGTATAACTTCAACTTTACTTTTAAATTTGAATATACATACTCCTTGCAAGAGGGGAGGGGTTTTCTGCTGATGGTGGAAGGTAAGGTGTTAGAACAGGTCTAGAAAATCCTATGATTGAAGAACTAATGATGTAATATTGCAAGAGCTAACAAGGGGGGGGGATGTTTTTAGTCTGTAATATTTTTAACAGCTGTTTAATTTTGGAATGAATTTCAATCGCTTTCTCTACAATGTTAATTATTGAACACACCACTTTTTTCGCTCAGGTGGATTGCAAGTGATTAAATCAAAAGTCTCCCAATGGAAGTGTTTCAGTGGAAACAAAAGCTTGTTTGGTAGAGGATTGGGGGAGGTACAGTGGAGTAAGACAGGTCCTTTGATTCAGAGCTGCACTGCTTGGATAAGGATGTTTCAGGAATCACCATACTGCTGTCCTAGAGAAGCTCAGAACTGGAGTGTTCCCCTGTCTCTTAAAGACAAGTCCTCTTGCAGAATGGCCATCTTTGAGTTGGCAGACCTTCCTCTTACCTTACCAGATCTGGTTTGGAGGGTTTTGTTTGTATCCTGTTCTGAAGCTCATACATGCAGAATACAGAGGGATGCTCTTCCTTGAAGGAGGAGCTAATGCCTGCATGTCCTTCTGTGGGATGTAGATATCTGTCACTTGAGCACTGCAAAATGTCATGAAATGAATTGAAAACACCCTTGACATTTAAAGTGATCCAGTGACTAACACATGCCACAGGGCCATTAATTGTTCCCCTGCTTTATTTAACCTTGACCTGAATCGTTTTGTTTCAATAAGGTTTCATGTCTTTAAACTCAGGTTATCCTTAATAAGATGCAATTGTTTTGACAGAGATGAACAAGAAATCAATGCTTTAAAGGAAGAAGTAGATGGTTTCAATTCTCTGGTTGCTGATCTTCAGAGGGACATTGAAGGTAGTCGGAAAAGAGAATCTGAGCTATTGATATTCACTGAAAAATTAACCAGTAAGAATGCACAGCTTCAGTCTGAAAACAATTCCTTGCAGAGCCAGTTGGATAAGCTTTCTTACAGCGAAAGAGAGCTGCAGAATCAGCTGGAATGTGCTCAACAGACTAAAGATGATCTGGTGAGTACAGTGTGCAGCTTGTTTTATGCTCTAGTAAGACATCTGATACTGGTGATGATACATGAATTCCACCTTGTGTCTTTACTTACCTGACTGCAATTCTTCATTGGGTTTGCCAATTTGATAGAATAATAGCAGTGGAGTAGGAGCTCCTCATGTTCCTAAGAAAAAAGAAATCCTGAGGCACACTGCACTGGAATGAGGGGGTGTTGCTGTGTTGTTCTGTCTTTCCTGGGGGTAGTGCAACTTGTCATTGAAACAAGCAGAACTGTCTTTCCTGGGGGTAGAGCGTTGTTCTCTGTGCAACTTGTCATTGAAACAAGCAGAAGGTTATAATTTGCCTGTGACATTTATTGCTGTAAACTGTTTCTCAGGTCCTGTTTGTACTATGAGATAAATGTAATTTTTGGTAAGCTTAGTGCATCATGGAAGGTAATGTGACTGCACTGTACAGCTCTGCAAGACTTTGTGCTGAGCATGTAGATGTTTTGGAGATAGTTCAGGAAACTTACTGTTCATTTGCAGTGCCAGTGTTTAGCCTAAATAATACATGTAAAATGTGAATGATTCTCAGGTGAGAAGTGCACTTAGGGCTGTTGAGCATACAGCACAGTTAGGCTAGAAATTTTTTGTATATGACTGAAAATAAAATTGCAATTTCAGGCCAGCAAGTTACAGAAGGAGGAGGATCAGCGAAAGCTAGAGGTTGAGACACTACAGGCTCAGCTGGCTGCAGAGCAGGAAGAGCTAACAGCACTGAAGACCCACATGGATGAACTCAAAGATGACCTGGCTACACAGAAGCGCAAGCATGCGGCGAACCTCAAGGATCTCACAAAACAACTTCAGCTAGGTGGAAATTATTTTCAGTTATGAGTCGGCCCCATCTGTAAACCCCACCACAGTGTTTGGTAGAGACTAGAGTCCTGTCTGCATACATGCACTGTTTGAGTGTCACCCTTCAAGCTCTCCCTGTCCCTAAAGACAGTGAGAGTGAGTGAGCAAGTTAGATCTTGTGGAAACTGCAGTTACAGGCTTTAGTGTCAATTTTCAGTCTTAAATATAACTTTTGAAGTGGGCTTTGACATAAAATGAGAGATTTATTTCAAAAGAGCTTGGTCTTTGTTATGATGTGTGTGACTACTGAAATGTCACTGGGTATATATGGATCTTGGTCTGTGTAGGAGTATATTCAAAAGTTGCTAGAAGTTTCCTAGTTGCTGACTGTATCAGGAATTGCTGGTGACAGTTATTTTTTTAGTACATTAAACAGAACACTTCGGTCTTTAAGGCTGGATATGGAGAGACTGACTAATTTTGTCTACAAATAGACATCGTCAAACACCCAATAATGCATATGCTCTGAATGCAAACAGATTTGAAGATAATCAAATCTGTTTGAAACAAGAGATCCTGTTGGCATTGTGCAAGACAAGTCCTGTGTCCCTTTTTGTACATATGAGAACAGCTGTGTGCTTTCCCTCTTGATCCTTACTGAATGAGTGGTGCTTCTGGCACAAGTACTATACACTTGCTGTAGTGACACAGTTACGAGATGCTGGAACAGATTTGCCATTCTGACATTCAGTAGTTTTTACATGGCCGCCCTTATCAAAAGTAAAATCAAATTTAAGTCTTCAAGTGTTCCCTGTTAATCCTATGTATGGTATTACTCCCTTCAGCTGGCAACTGCTGCAGTGTGTAGGGATCATGGTGGATGTTAGATTCAGGTGCTTCATGGTTGGGGGCAGAGGGAGATGGGGAACTGTTTGGTTTGTGTTTTATTCTTAGTTGCTACCATTATCTTGCAGTTGTCAAGCCATGTTAAATTAGTGCAGATCAGAAAGGATTAGAGGTTTTGTGTGCCAGGAAACACTGTCATTTTTAGTTTTTAATCTGCTATTGGTAATCATCATTTTGTTACACTTGTAGCACGGAGGAAATTGGATCAGATGGAAAATGGTAATTATGACAAAGAAGTCAGCAGCATGGGGAGCCGTTCCAGTTCATCAGGTAATAGAGCACATAGCAGAGCTGCCAGAACAGCCCTTCCATCCTCCTAAGGTTGCCATGGAGTGCTGCCTGAGCCTGCTCTTTCTGGGGTTTGGGCATGTACAGTGTGTGGGCAGCCTCCCATTACAGCTGACAAAATAGCCTTTAAGCACCAAAATGCACTTGGCTGGCTGCAGCTGTAGGTGCTTATTATGAGATTAACATGTAATGTTTATGATGTTTATATATTGTGGTTCTTTTTAAGTACCAACCCGTTTTATTTTGTTGCTTTTATGTTTGGAGGAAGCTCTGGGGACTCCAGTTTGTAGAGGACCCTTTTACATGCTGCCAGAGGCACAAGAAAAATGAGCACTGGCTTCTAACATTGTTTAATTGCCCTATTGACAGTTGCAACTGTGTAAATGATAAATCAATTAGCATCATTAGAGGCATCAGTGAGCTTGTGGAAAACTCACTGCTTTCTATCTGGTTAGAAATAAAGCACTAGTCTTCTGCACTGAAGACATCATCTGCTTCCTTCCTCAGCATCTTTGGGGTTTAGGTTGGGTTAGTTCTGTCAGTGTGTGCTGTAATCTAAATGTATGAGAGAACCAAATGCTTAGAAACAAGAAGAGAAAGTACTTAAAGGTCTAAGTGATCAGTGGTGCAGTGTTTATATACATGGCTTTTGTCAGTCTGTACAGTTTTCAGTGTTGTAATTTTAGTGGACGCCAAAATGGATATATTTAAAATCAGCTCGGTCTTGGACCAAGCTGATGAATATGAAGGTGTTTAAGTGGAAATAAGCATTCCTGAAGGAAACACACTTAGCCAAACACCCATGCAAGGGTAATGCGCTGCTGTCTCGCAGGTCGCATTCAAATGCTCCAAGGATAGTTTATAGAAAATCCACTAAAATACAAGGGCAATTGACCTGCTGAAGAAGATATCCTAAGCTCTTGAAATGTGATGAATGCATGCCCTGCTCTGGTGGGGGCACTTTACCTGGAATGAAAGGAAAAGAATTGCTTACAAATCTGTTGTGTTCCCAGGCTCCCTTAACGCGCGGAGCAGCAACGAGGATCGGTCACCTGAGAACACTGGGTCTTCAGTGGCTGTGGACAGCTTCCCAGAGGTGGACAAGTCTGTCCTGGTTGAAAGAATATTAAGGCTACAGAAGGCACATGCTCGAAAAAATGAAAAGATGGAGTTTATGGAGGATCACATTAAACAACTGGTGGAGGAAATCAGAAAAAAAACCAAGTATGTTTCATGTTCTGTTCGTACAGATTGTCAGTGTTGTGCTGATGCACTAGGCAAGTGTTCTGGATTTTATGTAAGACAAGGAATTGATTAATTTAAGGTGTTTAAACCATTAAAAATATTGCAGTGATAGTAGATTTCAAAGGTAGGATTAGACTTGGGGTTTTTTCCTTATCTTTCCCCAGCAGTTACAGTAATTCGCAAGTTTTTGGCAGTTATTACTATTACTGAACTTTTTTTTTAGGAGGAATAGACTAGTACAAGTGAGGTTTTGGTAGCAAAATGGTCACCAGATGGCTGATTTGAGGTGGACTGCTGCCACTGGTTAACAGAAGAGTGCATTCTCTTCATATGCTAAAGAGGGTGCTGATTGTGTGTGTTTGTTTTGGAAAGAGAATATGCATAATTCCAGATGGCATTGCACAGCAAACAATGTATCTGAGCCAAAGGTGGTCAGTAGTTAATGTGAGACAAGATTACACTTACATGGAAATCTCATCTTCCAAGATGATGTATGGAACTGCAGTTAGGAAGGAAAGAAATGGCAGCATATACCTTCCTCTGGAAAGTGCAGTTGTCTGTTAAGAGCAGTCCTTGCTTAATGAGTCTGTGCATTTATACCCATTTGGTACCATTTCACAGACATGATCACAGCTTGTGAAGACTCTTGAGAAGAGAATTTGTGAATTTTGTCTCGTGTGTAGAAAGCTATCTGAAGTCAAACAGCAGAGACATTTGGAAATACTTTTTTCCCCAGTAGCTTTCCAGAATACTTCTAAATAAGTAAACCTTGCACATTTTAGTGACTCAGCTCACCAGCATCTCCTGTAGCACTTTTGGTATCCCAGGTTTTCATCTGACTTAGAAATTGCAGGAGTACATTTTTAGTGCCTCTTCAGTAATATTCAGTACTGCTCGAAAATGAAATTACTCATGTCTGGAATCTCAACTTACTTCACTGACTGACTTTTCACTGCCTTGTAATGATATGATGTTTAATTTATTTTTCTCATCCCCCAGAATTATTCAGAGTTACATTTTGCGAGAAGAAGCTGGAACACTGTCATCAGAGGCCTCTGACTTCAACAAAGTACACCTGAGTAGACGGGGTGGGATTATGGCATCCCTGTACACATCTCATCCTGCAGATAGTGGTCTCACATTGGAACTCTCCTTAGAGATAAACAGGAAGCTACAGGCTGTGTTAGAAGATACGTTACTGAAAAATATCACGTTGAAAGTGAGTAGCTATGCCAGTTCTTCCACATGTTCTTGTGGTTCTGAGATGATTTCCTCAGAGGTGCACGTGCTGTTAAAGGGCTTTGCAGCAGTCAGCTCACTGTGAATTGGTGCACTGACAGCATTGGATTAACCAGAGAGTTACATAGCATGATCCAAGCTAAACCTCTGGTTTGGGACCCTCAGAGTATGCTGCACTGATGGGCTGAAATAAACTCTAGGCTGCCTGTGCCTCCAGCAGAGCAGGGTCTGTCCATGCTCTCCCTACTCTGTGGAGCCAGGAGGGAAGGTGGCAGGCTGGGGAGTGGTGTGCATGCTGCCAGCTGCACCACACTGTTCTGCAGGAGTTGGAGATCTCTTCCTCTAATTATCATTCTCCTGGAATGCTATACTTTCTAGACATCCTGTAGAATATTAGTAACCACAAAAAAAACTTGTGGAGAGGTTTGTGTCCTTTATTGAAATGAACTTGGTTTTCTCCACCTCTGTCTAATAATTTACATTTGTTCTGGAAACTTGAAAGTATCATCCTGCTGACATAAACAGCAATTTGTAACTTACTACTGCATTTTGTGCTGATCATCAACTCATTTTCCCTGTATAACTTATCCTGTTGTTTTTTTCTCCTTCAAAGGAAAACCTCCAAACTCTAGGAACAGAAATAGAACGACTGATTAAACACAAGCATGAACTGGAACAGAGAATAAAGCAGACATAACTAAAACTTCTATGGACTAACTAACATGAAGATGCAGAAGAGGCAGGTGCTCTAGACCACTGTTTTTTACATTTTGCCTGCCAGCACAAGCATCTGGTGTCTTGCAAAAGAAGCCTTTGACCACATAGGCTCACTCGTGTGAGAGATCCACAGGGTTTGGCATCAGTGTGGTTCTGTCTGCCCAACACCAGCCTGAGGCATTGCTGAATTTAACTACACACTACATTTATCTAAAACCTTTATTTGAAATGACGTACAGATGCTTTGCAGTGCATACTATGTTTTGAGTGAGTTGCAGTGAGATTGTAATTTCTGCACTGTGTAATTAATCAGTCTCTTAATGACAGAGCTTGAAAAAAATAAAGCCAGTTATGTCTTAGTTGCTATTAAGCATATCCAGTGTTACTGAGCTTTAAGGGCTTTCAGACATTATTTCCTTTCTTGCATATTATTTCTGATCTTTAGGTCGACTAAGCATTTTTTACACAGGCATGGAAAAATGCTTTGTCACAAAATTTTGGTTTTTAAATGGTGGCCATGATACTGCATATTTTCTGCTTTAGATTAACATTCAACAGGTCAGTGTCTGTATTCAAAAGAAGTGAAACAACAGTAAAACTAAGAGATTAAGAAACTTTCTGATTCAATTCTTGAGTATGTGTAATTAAAACAAATGTCAGTTCAACAAATCTTGTAAACCCTTGATCTTTAGACATGTGGATATACAGAAGTCTGATATCAGATAATCAGTTAATAAAGTTCTCTGGGCTTCTGCATAACTAACAGCCATTTAAAAAGTAGGAGTTTTAGCTGCCCATTGTTACATATGCACACGTAGACATGATGATTGCATCTGTTTTCAAAGATGAATGGAAGCTAACTAGATTTTCTCATGAATTGTGGTTAGACCAGTCAGTGAAAGTAATAAGACATGAGAAATTTATCTAAACAGGATTTTAATCTGTTGTTTGGACTGTGAAGGTGGCACAGAAATCTGTGCAGCTCCTTGATTGTACTGTTGTGAGGAATTAGTTGGTCAAAATAGCACAAACTGAGAATTACTATTTAGTCCTTCCATGGCCGAGAAGGTGATGGAGGAGGAGTATCAAGGTGACAAGATTTGGATTAGTCACAGCATCATGTTCACATTTTAATTCCAGGATAAGTAAAATACAGTATCTGAAATATCTCTATTCCAGCAGTAAATGCATAGTTTCTGTATTTATTGCCTTTTGACCAAAATAAATGATCAGATCACAGTGTAAATACATACTTCAGGTTTTTATTAAATACTTGAACTTCCTATTGTCATGGAAAAAGAGTCAATGTACATTTACAATAGCAATGGTTTAGCTATTTTAATCAGAAGGGATACCTGGGGGACAAGGGTGGGGGAAGAATCTGTCTTACCTAAGGCACCATTTGAATTGTACAGCAAACAAGGGACCTGAATCTGGCAGCACAGAGGATAATTTATGGGACATCTGGGTGACTTAGGGCTGTGTGCTCCATTTTCAGGTGCTTGAGCTTTGTGATGAAACAATTTGAGCAGAAGGGCCTGATTTGGTTTGAATAGTTTGGTTCAAGACAGTGAGATTTTCTTGTTACTTTAAAGATAGACATCTCTGAAAGTCCTTGTGGGATCAAGACCTAGTTTGTGGTCCAGAGAGCTTCAGGAGTCTCAGATGGCAGGTCCCTTCTGTATCAAAGGATTAAGTGTTTCTTTAGAAAGGGAGAGTGGGAAGAAATTGTTAAAAACTTGACTGAGCATTATATAGAAACTGCAAGCCTTTAATCTGGGTGGGTTTTTATACATCTATTTTTCTAATTTCTGAGAGCAATGGTTATCTGAAGTGTTAGGGAATTTGGACCAGTCCAGTCATGGGACTACCTCTGCTTTACTATTGTTTAAGTGATGTGAACAAGAAAATAACCTGGCTCTGCTGAAACTGGTTTGTCACCAGCTTCCAGGAAGTGAACAGACAGCTGTTTGTGACTGAGCTACATGTTCTGCTGAAAGTATTTCAGAACAATCTGCATGCTAAAACATAGCTTAGCTTGTGTGTGTATGTTTGTGTTTCCATGTTTTGTTGTACCAGATCTCTGGATATTTTCAGGCATTTAGCTGAATGACTCCAGTATTTTAGATACCATGTTAATATTGTAATCATTTAATGTATGTTCTCCAGGTGTACAGTGTGAATGAAGGAGAGGTGTGGTGCAGATGGAATCAGTGCAATGATGTTGTGGAAATTCTTACTTCTTTTGGCATGGTTGTTTCTCCTTTTAAGTTATTTGAGAAACCTAGTTATCTGTCCTCCTGCCCTGCTGGAAATGCTGCTTCCTCTTTGTAGCGCTAGTAACTTCTCAGACTTCTATTTTTTCTTGGTTATGGAGACACACAAAGTAGCCAAAATACCACATTGTTTATTGTGCACGGTATCTTCATGGACCAAAGTTGCCATCTACAGCTGTTATTTTAAACATATCTGTTAGAAATGGAAATGTCATTCTAGCTTGCACATTGGCAAATGACTTTCTAGTAAAACCAGAATGTGATGGATACATGATGGGGTCAGCCAGCAGCTTTGCTTGAGGATGTTCCTCGTTTCTGAGAGTGGTGTATTATCCATAAAATGTTGCTGGCATGTCACCTGCCTGTGGTTTCCCTGGGGTGATTTGTCAGACCTGTAACAAGAAAACACTGCAAAGGTGTGTTTGTGTGGGGTGGTTCCCACATGGGGCACCAGCTGGTGCAGAGTGGGTGCAAGGCTTGTGTAGCAACTGCATTTCACTTACCCTTGTTCTGGAAACTTTGTATTTCGAACCTGAAATTGAAAACTCTCCTCACATAAACTGAATTTTAGCGATAAACTAATTCTGAAGGCAGCCTGGAGCAGTTAGCTGCATACCTGTCACTGAAATTCAGTGTCCATTAGACGTGTCATTGCCACAGGCTGTTTTGAAAATTCCAAGCTTGTAGCTAGTTGTGTCTTACAGGCTTAAACATCTGTTTCTTAAATACTCAGGGTGCTCTTTGAATTCAAACATCACACAGCCAGATGTTGCTAGAGGCCCTACAGGAAAGCTGCCTATGCTTTTCCACCCCCTGTAAAATCCAGCGCTGTCATTGCCTGAGGCCAGACCCTCTGACCTGAAGAATACCATTGTATGCTATAGAAATCACTGACTTTCTGCTCCATAGACTTGTGCAATATTTTTTAATTACAGCGTCCAGAAAACTGGAGATTGATTTCTTCCTTGGATATTTTCTCATTATCTTCACCTGTTGCTGGCAACACTTTTGCTTTCTCTCTTGAAATATTTTTCATTACAATGTTTTGGTTCATAATTTAAAATGAAAAGAAACTGTATTTCTGACTTCCAGTGCATGGAGTGTGATGCTGAGTGGCCACATGCTGCAGAGACCTGAATCTAGGAGGAGTTCAGAGAGCAAGGCCTGTCCAAAAGGGGCTACATGCTTCCTGCTGCCAGTGGGAAGCACTGGGACTGTGGATACAGCAGTAGGTGGCACTGGGAATCAGGTGTATGTGTCTCCACAGCCCCCTGACCCCTGTCTAGGGGCACACAGCTGTGTTGCAGAGGGAGCTGAGTGGTGTTCAGAGCTTTTCCAACATGGATGTGTGTTTCCTTCCTGTTTTCTTGTTCTAACTGAAACATGTCGAATCTTCCAATGTATGTATGTAAGTCATCTGAATACACACAGAATGTCTATTGATTTAATTTTGTAGATACCTGTTTCTGTATAAAGTTTTTGAAGATATCGCTATACCTTATGTATATACTGTACTTTGAAATAATAAACCTACAAATGTATGAAGGTCTGGTTGGGCTCTGTGGTTTGTTCCACTCTGGGTTGCAGTGCTAGCTCTCAGTTGAGGGTGGGTGGGGGTGGCAGCAGGATGCTCCCTGGTGGGTGCTCCTCCTTTGGGAGTGGGAGCCTTCCTTTCTCAGCACAGTCCTCGTGATGCTTGTAAACAAGTACTCGGAGATGAATTGCCAGCAAACCGCTCCTGCCGGCACGGAGAGCACCTTCCACTCCCGTTCCTGTTTCCCCTGAAGCAGACCTAGCTGTGTATGAGGAGTTTGATCAGCAGTTGGAGGTGCTGCTGCTCCCGTGGCAGGTCGGTGCTCGCTGCCAGCCACGGCTCTCCCATTGCGCCGTGTAAACAGGAGGTGGCAGTGCCTCTTTGCCGCTTACCTCCAGCACTGCCAGTCGGTTTAGCAGCAAAGCCAGGGAAAACAGCCTCTCCTGCTGTACTCCATCCCTTGGAAACCGCGGAGAGACCTTTCCATCCTCAGGACAGGTGATGGGTGTGCAGCTGCAGTTAAGTGCTGCAGTCCCGGGAAGTGGCTTCGCTGCTTGAGCTGCTTTTCCCTTGTGCAACATGAATTTGGCAGTCCCACAGTCCCAGGAGCAAGGGCTGATTCCTTGGCTGCAGCTCCACATTTGGGACACAATTTGCTGGTCTGATTTATTTATTCCCTTGTAGAGATCTAATGGAGTTTGGTTTTTAGCCACGATGGTATTGTTTGATACAAACCATGAGTGGTGCTGTCTGATTGCTGGCTGTTCATTGTGGCTGTGCTTGTGTTAAAAACCTGGGAATAGGGTTGGTATGGGTTGTCCTGCCCTTACAGCCTGATTGTAGGGAGACAAAGGGAAAAAGAAATACCATGAAGAGGATAATCTATGGAGATTATTCTAGTATTTCCCAAAGTATCTTAAATGAGGGAAATTTCCTGTTGAAAGTATTGGCAAACTCCCTAGGACCAGGCCAAGGGCTCCCAGTAAGTTGTCTGGTTACTCTTACCTCTATGACTCTCTGCTTAAATTGTTTTGCTGTTCAGCATTTTACTTCCAGCCTTTACAACTAATAGCAGGTACAGCTCTTGGTGACAGATGTGACCAAAACCCAAGGTTTATTTGTGCTTCCCAAGTACTTAATGCTGCTATTTGGAAACAGCAGCCTGAAGTTAAGCTTCTTCAAGTACTAATTTCAACTTCGGTGGTATTTGCAAGTAGCCATGTGGCAAATAACTTCCCACACAGT